TGCCACCCCGATAGATCTGGGCCCGGACCAATGCTTCTGTGGCTTACACAGCAGGAAGAAAATCAACTGGAAATAAAATGAGAGTGAATTTTGTCAACTGTCTTTCTCTTCATGGATACAGGGCTAGTTTGCTGGTTTGTTGCTGTGCTAAAAATGTACTACAGCCCTCCTCAGTTCAGGCCATGCTACGAGACTTCTTCCTCTTAAGCAGACATGCAACTGTAACGTGGTGCTTTTATTTTGGGCTGGTCTGAGTGAAAGCAGAATGTGCCACAAACGGAAGCCTGCGTTTTGGGAGCTGGGCCTTCAGCTCAGTGCAAGCCAGTGAGGCAGGAAGTAGCTGCAGAGCGCTGTGGGAGACGGAGATTCAGGTCATCACGTGTCAGTAGCACGCTGCTTCTGCAGAGTAAGAAACACGAACTGCAGACGTGAGGATTTCCTGTAGCTTTTGCTATGGGACAGGAGCAAGGGGAAAGACTGAGGTTTGAGCAGAGGGGAAGGCAGTTGTTCTGCAGTGTTCTTACGGGTGGGAATGTTTCCCGGAAGGAAAACCAAAGAGCAGAAAGCAGAATACCAGGAGATAATCTTTTAAAACCATAAACTAAGTTTATAAAAGTGTCTGAGCTTTTTAAAATATTTATTTTCATTGAAAATGTGGTTAGCAGCCGTTCTTACAAAAATATATATGTATTTTTTGGTGGAACCAGGGATTGAACTCAGGCCCTTGCGCTTCCCTGGCCTTACTCTACTGAGCTGTCTCCCCAGCCCAAGAATTGTTGCTTTATCAAATTCTAATGAATTTCAGATGGAAGTCGTAAGAGGCATTTTATAAAGTCTTCACTTTATAAAAAGAAAGGTACACTTTCATTTTGTTTTCAGCATACACAGATAAAATGTCCATACCTGTGCATAGTCACTATGGCTTCCTGGTATGTGGTGCAGGTTGGATGGCCACCTGTCCTCCTCGTGTCCTGGGAGACCCGTGAGCAGACAGCGAGGCAGGAGCACACAGACCGGTAATCTGCATGGGTCTGTCTGTATCTCAGTGTTTTTACTCGGGTAGGAAGGTCAGGATCTTTGAAGCTGTATGATTCCAGCAAATGCAAGACGCACGGCCGCCTTGTGGGGTCTCGGCCCTCCCGGAGCTGCCGGCCGCCTTGTGGGGTCTCGGCCCTCCCGGAGCTGCCGTCTGTGCCGTCTGCCTTTCCCATCACGGGAGCTGGCGCTCTCTGCAGCAGCAGCGAGCTTGGCATCAACTGCTGCAGTTCTACTCCAGATTTTAAGAAACTGAGATGTGATTCCTTGTGTTCAGGGAGCTTGAGGGTTAGTTATAGAACAGTGAGTAGTATTTTTAGAGTAAAATCTCAAAACTTTCATGTCTAAATTGAGTTTTTCATAAAAGTAATTAATTTGGGGGAGGGAGGAAGTATATTCTAACTCCCTAAATCCCTAACTGTCTTCTAGGGCTCTTACTGCCTGGCTTTTATTTTCATTTTTGTGTCTATTAATTCAGTTAATACTTTGATTTTTCTGTCAGAGAGTTACAGATCAAATGAAAGTCAGTCCCTTGCGGAGGGCCTGACAGCTAGGTTTGCGCTCTAGCCTGTCACAGGCACCGCGTTTCAGGAGTTGAGGAAAGCTCCGTTCAGCCTGAACTAAGATGTCCCGCGTGTCTTCTAAGCAAGAGTGGAAGGAGTGGAAAATGCACCACGAGCTATCTTGGTGGCTCAAGCCAGAGATTGGGCAGGATTGGTCTTTTGTGTTCTTATGGAGCTTGGCTATTTAAAGAATAACCACTTTCCCCGCAAAAAGCACTGATTCAAATCCTGGAGCCAGTTGGAGCCAGTTGGAGGTTACAGGTCGGTGACTGCACGAGTGCACACACAGGAGTCTCTGTGGTTGCTGATAACTTACTTTGTGGTCACTAGATGGTGCTCTTTCGCTTTGAAATAAATTACTTTCCATTGAGGGTTTGTTGTCTTGCTGCAGAAGGGGTGCAGTCCATTTTGCCTTCAACTGGATCTGCGGCTCCCTGCCCCTCTACACGTGTGCAGGGATTTTAATGTGATTATCTACCTGGGCAGGTTATTAGACCTCTCAGTACTTACTGCTAATTCTTTTTTTTTGGGGGGGGTATGAGAAAAATATGTACATATCCTTGAGAAGCATTCTGTCATGCATATTGAGCCAAAATATGAAGATTAGAGTTAAAGTTCTCCTGTGCCTTCATCTTTTCTTGTGCATCTTTAAGCCAATAAGAATGTAGATGTGGCAAGGCAGTAAGAGGTCGGTCCCAGGGGCCTCAGGGAACCTGCGTTTTAGCAGCTGCTGCAGGTGAGCCTGAGGCACAGGTGGTTCTCAGAACACTGGCCTCGCAGCACCCTAGGGATAGTGATGCTCTTCACTACAGTTACCCCAACATCAGCCTGTAGAAACGCAAGCCAAAGTTGACAGCTTGAGTATAAACAGCTCTTCCAGCAAATATTTCCCAGAGGAGGTCACAGTGGCTATGGTAAGAATAAATCAAGGAAGTGCGGCCAAGGTGGGCTAACTTAACTGTATGCGTCCTGTGGATGGTGTGCCATGCCGAGAGAACCGCCTTAGCCCTGTGCAGGCGCAGTGGGAAGGGGGCAGTGTGCCTTCGCCAGGCTTCTGCAGCTGGGTGTCTCTTGTATTCTGCTTCTAGATCGCTTGGCTTACAACGCCTAATACTTAAAAATTTCAGAAAGATTTGAGCAGCCTGTAGGGCCTTTGATTCTCACAGCCTGGTCCTCTTGACAGGGCAAGCCTCAGAGGAGGGATTACAGAACAGGACAAGGAGCAGCGCCTGAGGCTAGGAGCAGCCTCCAGGAAGCAGTCCAGGGAGGGGTCCCTGCTGGAGGTGATGGCTCTGACTCAAATCAAGCACAGCTGTTTGAGGGTTCCCCCAAGGCCAAGGCCCACATTCTTGAACTCTGAGGCTTCCTGGTGTGTGGCTGTTAACTGTGACCTCACCGGCCTGCTCCTGAGAGCAGTGGCTTTAAGAAAATGGCTTCCCCTTTCTTCCTCCTCTGCCCACCTGCCTGCCCCCTCTGTTTCTCAATCTCTTGCTCCTCCTCCTCTGCTTCTCTCTGTTCCTCTCTCTGTCCTTGTCTGTCAGTCACCCAGGCGTCCATCTTTACTTGGCTTGTGGGATGGGGATATGGAGACCACAGGATTGGGGGACATATGGGGCTCGGAGCAAGCCCCTGCCTGATGACTCTGGCTCCCCACTGCAGAGAAATAGCGCTTTCGAAGAAGTCAAGGCCTCAGGCAGTGCTACATGTGAAAGGTCCTCAGGAAACATTCGCTGGCACTGTCTCTGACTTGTGCTACTCATAAACGATGCAACCAAAAAGTCACTGTGGATTGGGCCTCAAGAGGGATGAGGGTCTCAGTGACATGACAGCTGTAAGAAATTCTCTTGGTCATTCAGCTTTGTCACTAGTGCTGACAGGTGTGGAATTTGCTGTTTCCTCAAAATGGTCCTGGTCTGGGCCAGGCCAGGCTCTCGGGGTGCTGGATGACCTGGCAACCTAATTGCAGAGCACAGTGAAGCTCTTCTCACGCTGTGGCCTCGGGCGCCACTGCCCTCCTCCATGAGGCCGATCCCATTGGTCTCAGCCACACTTTGCCCCTGCTGATAGCTTTGCCCAGATCTCATTTTTTCAATGAGTCTGTTGTCCTCTCTCCTTCCTGTGACTGGTATTCGTGACCTTTCTGTCTTGTCTTCCTTTTTTAAAAAATAAGATTTATAATTCAATATATTAAGTAATATATTTGATTTTTTTTTTTCTTTTCTTTTTTTACAGTACCAGAGATTGAACTCAGGACCTTGCGCTTGCCAGGCAGGCACTTATTCTTCTGAGCTGTCTCCCTGGCCCGTTTGATTTATTTCTATCTCCCTATAGAAGGCTGTAAGCTCTCTTGTGGACAGTGGCTTTTGTCCTCACTTGCACGTCCTTGGAGCATGCCAGTGTAATGTTTAGAAATATTTGTGCAGTGACTGAAGGCTTGCCTGTATGTAATTCAATAACAGATAGTAGTTGCAGCACATATTAGTCACTCAGTATGAATTCTGGGTAAAGTTAAACATTTCTGAATGAAAATTGTTTTCTCTCCTCCCTAACCTGTCAAGAAAGATGCCTTATCATTGAAGTGCGGATCAGAGTCAGAAGACATTGGATTCTAATGACTATATGGGTGATTTTTCAGGCATAAATTACTGAATTGTGACTTCAGGTTTCAGTTTCTGCTGTGAAGAACATCACAAGGCTGTGATATAGAAAAAATATAAATCCATGTATTTAAACCCTACAGGGAGGATGTAGTTCGCACTGTGTGCCCAGCGTGCGCGAGGCCCTGGCTTCAGTCCCCAGCACTGCAGAGTGAAAGGAAATGCAGAAAGGGTCTGGAATTCAGCAGGAGACTGATAAATAAGTTTATAGATACCTCACTTATTTAAAAATAATTATTTGATATATTTTACCATTAATAAATGTGCTTATTTTGCCAAAAAAATTAAATAGCCAGTTTTCAAAAGGAAACAAGATACAGGTTAAAGCACAATTTGAATATCTTCCATATGCTTGTTTTTTCCTACAGTGATAGCATATCTACAGTGAAATAGTTTATTATGGAGTGTGTGTGTGTGTGTGTGTGTGTAAAAGAGACAGGGGGAGTGAGAAAGAGAGGAAGGAGGAAGAGGGAGAGAGAAATACTGATGCTTGAGCCCTGGGCCTTTGCACTGAGCTGTATCCCTAGCCCTTTCTGTTTATTATTATTATTTTTAAAAATTTTGAGACAAGGTCTCACTAAGTCACTGAGTTTCCCTAGCCAGTCTTGAACTTGCGCTCTGCCTTTGGCTAGGATTACAGGCGTACAGCACCACACCCAGATCCCCTTTCTCACACTGTAGCATAAGCTTTAAGCTGGGAAAAGTTTGAGAGTTTTATCTGAGCCCTGTTTCTGATTTCTTATAGATCCCCATATTAAGGTTTCTGGAAGGAAAGAAGATGTTAAGGAAGCCAAGGAAATGATCATGTCTGTCTTAGACACCAAAGTAAGTGTGAGGACTTGCGGACGTCAGCACTTTGTCTCCACAGGGGCTACTTCTTGCCAGGTTAGAGGAACCATTTGGTGAAGAAAGGGCAGGAGAAAACCGTGGTGCATCTCAAAATAGCACTTGCGATTCTCCAGTCCATGTAAAGTTCAGTTTAATATTTGAACAGCTTCTCTGATCCTGAGTAGCTGAGAGACATGTACATATGCACACACGCCCACAAACATGTCTGTGCATGTGGATTTGTGTATGTGTGCTTATGTGTATTGCTACCTCCAGCAGTAGACAGCCTGGTTAGTGCAGTGTAAGTGACAATGACTGTAGGACTCAGTGTCCTTGCCGCTGTGATGCCAGCAGGAGCCAGAATGACCTTCTCTGTCACTCTGCTTAGCATGCAGTGGCATGAAGTTGTGTGCAGTTTTGTCCTCTGTCTCCTACTCTCAGTGCAGGTGTTAGATTGATAAAAAGGATGTTTGAGTACTTGGAAATCTGTACCACATGTGAGAATTAAGCTCACCTAAATCACTTATTGTATTCCAGTCTCTTTGCTGCGCACTTTACATTTAACAATCATAGTATAGACCCATGTACAGTGTGTTGTTAAATGCTCCTAACTCAGCACAGTTATTATTAAATATTAAGTATTAAACAATTTCTTCAAATTACAGAGCTGGTATGGGAAGGATTCACATCTAGGCTAATTCTTTTTTTTTTTTTTTTTTTTTCACTTATTGAAATGATCTCTGAGCTCTTCTTTTTTTTCTTTATTTTTTTTTGTTATTACTCTTCTTAAAAATATTTTTAGGAATTATTTATCTTACAATCATTAAATGCTTTAGAATATTGCTGAAAAGCAAGGCTCCTTTCCTATATTTCCAAAGTTAAATGGAAAGAATTAAGTTTAAAAGTCAAAACACTTATTGAATGTAAGTTGAGAATTTAAGATTCTCAGAAGGTTTAAAATTACCAGTTTTTTAAAAATATTTTGTTATGCTTAGACTTTTAAATTTTTACTTTAAGGACTATGGAATTTCATAAGTCATGGAAATCTTACCTTGAGGACTATGGAATTTCCATAACAGTCTTAGAATTTCCATAACAATCTTGTAAATTAGAGTTTTAATGGCCGACCTGATAGCTCAGCAGAGGAAAGCACCTGCTTGGCAGAGCACAGGGCCAGGTTCAGGTCCCAGTGGGCTGTGCCGGCCCACCCCCGGGTGCACTGAGACAGCGATTGAGACTGGGCGTGGTGGCACACGCCTGAAATGCCAGCACTTGGAAGGCTGAAAACAGGAGAATCACTCTGAGTCCAGTCTGTGTCGTGAGACCCCGTGGACCCTGCACTAAATACAGAAAATAAAAAAAAGAGTTTTAGAAGACTAAATTTCCTAAAATTTAATACATCAATTTCAGTGTGACCACTGTGTTAGTAATCCCGCCTTGTGATAACACAGCCGAGCTCCTCGCCGTGTGCCGCCTGCTCCTTCTTCCCTGCCCCTCCGAGCAGACCCGTGCGGGAGGCTCCCCGCGCCAGCACGCAGGTGGTGAGGCCGGGCTTAGAAGTGCTTCCTCAGTCGGAGTTTGGAGCGTTACATTGATTCCTAGTTTCCTCTTAGTTCCACTCTCCTATAATTTCCATATCTTTAGTCTTAGAATTATGTTTTCATCAGTTTTAGGGTATTTGAATTAAATACTTTATTAATAATGTCCTTAAAAAATAATTTATTTGTAGTTATAGCTTATTCTACTTAAAGAGTAATTTCCAAAAGATTATCTTGCTTGAAAATATATCTGTTTCTTCTGACAATACTTGTCTTCAAATGAAAATTTTTTTTAAGAAACCAGAGATGTTGATAGAAATTGAGCATTTTATGTTACTTGGGAGGAAACTCAGGACCTTGTACTTGCCAGGGAATTGAGCACTTTAGATTGGTATTGTCTAAGAACCCTGTGACCTTTCCCAGTGGATTTCTGTATTTTCGTTTGTTTTGTCTTTGGAGACAGGGTCTCAGGATGCAGTCTGGGCTGGTCTGGAGCTCACAGTGTAGCCCAGGCTGGCCTCAGACTCGCAGCTGTCCTCCTGCCTCAGCCTCCCAGGTGCTGGGAATGCAGGCGCGTACCACTGTGCCCAGGTTGCCTCATTCGTAAATACAAAAATCACCAAAGACAAAGTTTGTAGGGGTTTGTTCTTTCCCTTTCTATGCATTTAACAAGGCTACGTTATTTCTGCGCAGAGCAACCGCGTCACACTGAAGATGGATGTTTCCCACACAGAGCACTCGCATGTCATCGGCAAAGGCGGCAACAATATTAAAAAGGTCATGGAAGAAACGCGGTGCCACATCCACTTTCCAGACTCCAACCGAAATAACCAAGCAGAAAAAAGCAACCAGGTGAGGTGTCTTTTTCCCATCAGCTTTTATGGATTGAAGCGCAGACTTAATCTTCAGAATAACGTCGTCTTTGAATGATGAGCGCAAAATATAATCATTTAGCTGACGCACAGCATGGATGGTAGGACTCCCTTGCAGGGACAGAGGACACAGTGCTTCTTTGAGTCCAAGTGGGACCTCCGCTGGCCCTCCTCATGCTCAGTGGAAAGCAGGAACCAGACCAAAGCCCTAGGAAAAGCCAGGAGAGTGTGTGCATCAGGGAGGGCCTGGACGCCGTCTGGCCCCCGAGTCTGACTCTCTGCAAAGGCAGTGCCTCTGGCAGCCCAGGCCCCTTCGGTCATCGACTGAGCTGTGTCCTTCCCTGTGCAGTTTTCCCGGTTCTTCTATTTGGAACTCAGCTGTCCATACGCAGGCCCTTACACTACTTGGAGAACAGATAGTATTACATACGTTATTTGGAAATGTTCTTTCTTCTAAACTAATCACAAGACAAGAAGCTGTCAGACACACAGATGACATCTTTTCTGTATAATTACTCATGGGGACCTGCTACAAATGAAAATATCTAATAGCTGCTGTGGCGTGACCATACAGGCGTAAGCAGTGTTTCGGTACTCCCACACCCACACCTGATGTGACAGCAGCGTTTTAATCTGTGTGTTACCCCAAGGCTCAGGGAGCCCCATGTGGAAGCTGGAGAAAAGTGCATTTTGGGGCCTTGATTATTTGACCGCTGGCATAGAAGAAGCTCACTGTCTGAGAACCCAGGGCAGTGATGGCGAGCCTGTTAGGGCTTCCAGTGATACAAAGCAGTCCACTGTGGCATTCGTGCCAGCGGCTTCCATCGTGTCCCTAGTATAGCCACGTGATTGCGTATTGCCAACTACCTAGCATGTATAGTTTAAACAAAAGGGAGAAAAATATCGTGAAAAGACCAGGGATACAGAGGGCATGATGACTTCACGAGGGTGTGTGGACTTGGAGGTTTGGAGCAAGGCATGATGCAGATCACGGAGAAAGACCTCAGTAGAGTGCAGATTCTGGGCCCAGCCAGGTAGCTCAACAGACTGAAGCTTAGGCAGGTGCCAGGACCACGGTTCGATCCCCAGCATGCTGTGCTGGCCCTGCCTCTGCAGCACACTGAGACAGCGACTGACTGGGTGTGGTGGTGCATACCTATAATCCCAGCGCTTGGGGGGCTGAAAACAGGAGGATCACTACAAGTCCAATTTATGTAGTGAGATACTGTAGACCCCGTACTAAATATATTTTTAAAAAATGGATGCAAATTCTGACTACATTGGAGTTGAGGGCTGAGAGCTTTTATTTTTAATGAGCTCCTGATTTGATTCTGTTTATCCCTGAACCACACTTTGAGTAACAAAGGTATAGATAGCTAGAAAAGCAAATGTGAGTTTGATATATATATATATATATATATATATATATATATATACACACACATTTTATTATTATTTTTTCTTTTTCTTTTTCAGGTGTCTATAGCAGGACAACCAGCAGGAGTAGAATCTGCCCGAGTTAGAATTCGGGTAACTATTTCTTACTTTAATAATATAAATTGATGTCACAGCATTTGCATTATAAAGCTTTAACATATTATCCTTTATTGTTTTATAGCCAGTAACTTCACTAAGTAGGAAGTAGTAGCAAAGGCTGTTTTCACTTTCATTCTGACAACCATTATCTAAATTATCATTGGTGACATTTTATTGTCAGCCTTAAAAATAAGGTTCTAGTTTACTTACAAATTTCTTTCTATTGAAGATACTTCTTAGAAAATCTGAATTTCACTGGACTCAGTTTCTCTGATGATCTTTACATGATCACATGGCAGCTTGAGGACAAATGCCCCAGACAGTGTAAGTTAGAGCCACTCAAAGTTTGCAGAAGCCTTCTGTTTAAAAAAACTTCCCATGATCTATGTAAAGTGAGGTTTACCATAAGAACAACTCGTGTTATGAATCCACCTTCAGGAACTAGTCACATCTCTGAACATACAGCGGTTTCATGGTCCGCTGTGGGGTCTTGTCATTGTCTCCTAGGAGCTGCTTCCTTTGGTGCTGATGTTCGAGTTACCAATTGCTGGAATTCTCCAACCAGTGCCCGATCCCAATTCCCCCTCTATTCAGCACATATCCCAGACCTACAACATTTCAGTGTCATTTAAGCAGCGTTCCCGCCTGTATGGTGCTACTGTCATAGTCCGAGGGTCTCAGAATAACACCAGTGCTGTGAAGGTAAGCGCCCGAGATAGTCCCTGACATCCGAAGAATACAAGTCATGACAGTTTTATTTTTTAAGGGATGTGAGACTGTTTATGTTGCGACATTCATTCCTGTTCTTCGGGTTTGTAGCGCATATTCTGTCTCTCCGTAGCTGGTAGAAGTGCAGCCGACATGAGCTGCTGTGTTTATCAGACCGCTTCCCTGCCCCTCCCTGACAGGAAGGAGCCGCCATGCTGCTGGAGCACCTCGCGGGGAGCTTGGCCTCCGCCATCCCCGTGAGCACGCAGCTGGACATCGCGGCGCAGCATCACCTCTTCATGATGGGGCGGAACGGGAGCAACATCAAGCACATCATGCAGCGCACAGGTGCTCAGATCCACTTTCCCGATCCCAGCAGTCCACAGAAGAAATCCACCGTCTACCTCCAGGGCACCATTGAGTCTGTCTGCCTTGCAAGGCAATATCTCATGGTAAGCCGTTGAAGTTAGTGTTGGAATTTATTTAAAAATTTGTTTCTCAATAAAATTAATTTAAAAAACTTTTCTGAATTATATTGAGTGGCGTAGCACTCTTTGTACTGTTTTAATTTCGACTAAACACAAGCAGTTATAGGAAAATAATCGACTGTGTCCTGTGGCATGGATAGAGTGTAATTACTTTTATCAAATATATTGTTCTAATGTGTGATGTGTACTTACAAAAAAGTTTTCCATTTAAGCAGAAGAGTATAGGGCTAGGGAGATAGCTCAGTGGTCTGAGTGCCTGCCTGGCAAGGCAAGGACCTAGGTTCAGTCCTAGTGACACATGCTGTGCTGGTCCTGGAACCCCGGGCACACCATGCTGACCACTGAAACTGGATGTGGTTGTGCATGCCTGTCATGCCAGTGCGTGGGAGCCTGAGCAGAAGGGTCACTGCAGGTCTGGGCTGTGCAGCGAAACCCTGTACCAAATACATAAATAAAATGCACAGAAGTATAAATAGTAATTAACCTTTATCCTCAAAGATATCTCTTGGTGGCCTAAAGTATTTATTTACTTCATACATTTCTGATTTAATTAAATAATTACAATTTAAGCCCTAAGTTTGAGTAATACCTATTAAAAATAGAACAGGAGATTTCTAGCTTAATGCTGCTTTTGATTTATAATTTATGGTATTTCTTCCTATGTTCATTTAAAATCCCACGCCATAGGCGGAATACATAGTAACAAAATAGCTGGGCATATTCCTGGGCTTCCAGGTATTCTTATTAAAAATACCACTGTATTCTCTTGTTCAATGCTCAGCCTTTAGTGACATTTAAATCAGTCAGCATTTGGTGTGACCTTTGTTATTATTAACTTACAGAATTCATTTTGGAGAAACTTTCACAAAATCCACATTTGTATCGTTGATTCCATTCTGACAGATGGAAGTTTGTTCTAATCCTGAAGGGTTATAATATGATTTTAAGATCTTTATTTTTGGTGAATGTTTTCTTTTAGGGGCAAGTTTATCTTATCAGGCTGTTTCTAGCAAACTACCAGTCAGGGAGCATATGCATATAGCTATGAATTGTTAGAATAACTCTTCATGTTTTCGTAAGTTCTTTAGATGTAATTTTTGAGTAAAGTGTAAGTAAATGTTTTCCAGCATCTAGAGCAGTTATGGAGCTGTATGCATACTGTGATCATACCTGTCAAAAATATAGATGCACAAGAAGACATCGTATTATGCAATATTGAAGGAAGGGAGGGATTCAGTAAAAAGCCACACTGCCCTGGGAGAGGGACAGGCTTCCAGACATGCAGATCTGTGTGGGACAAGCGAGGCTTTTCCTATATTTGATCGCCTTCTCAGATAATAGCATTCCTAGAAAAATTGCTTTTATCCACCAGTGAAGTGGCACATATTTTAATGTTTCACAGGAACTTCTTCACGTAGATGTGTGGAATCCTACACATCACGAGGCATGTTATGTGACTCCTGAGCCCAGTAGATTAGGGACAGGAAGAAAGCTTCAGAGAGAGTCTACCCTAAACGCTGCAGTGCCGACGAGAGGTAGACAAAGGAGGCACAAGAGCCAGTCCTCCGCCTGGAGGAAGTCGAGCTTGAGCTGTGTCAGAACAGAAGAATGACTTGGAGTGCTGAGGAGGCCTCTGATGGTACAGACCAGAGCAGGGTCCCTTGAAAAGATAGTGAAAAGCCACACTGCCCTGGGAGAGGGACAGGTTCACAGACATGCAGATCTGTCTAGACAAGCGAGGCTGGGCCAAAAGGAGGAGTTTTTTAAAAATGCATTTTAAATGCACTGCAGACTAAGCACCTGCTGTGGCAAGTGCAGAGACCAGGGTTCGATCCCCAGTCCTGCATGCCATGCTGGTTCCACCCCTGGGGCACACTGAGCTGGTGATTGAGTCCAGGCATGGTGGCACACACCAGAAATCTCAGCAGTGGGGAGGCTGAAAACAGGAGGCTCACTGAGAGTCCGAGCTGCGGAGTGAGACCCTGAGCCAAATACATAAATGGAAAATAAATGCAAGTTTTTGAGCAAGAGCGGAAGACTGGTCACCTTGATGTGGTTGAGAATCTCATTTCTACCATCACCAGTGAGGCTGAAGTCAAAGTAGGAAGGAATTTTCAAAGAGGGAGAGTGAATAAAAACAGTACAACCCCCAAACTGGAAACTTAAGACATCTAGTTGCTTCTTCACATTATTTCCATGCAGCCCTTCGAGCTGTGTGAAGGTAGATAACTTAGCTTTAAAACTTTGTTCTGCTCTTTAAATCTGTAAAATATTGTGTCATTTGTAAGCATGTTCAGATAGCAGGTCTTCAAGTGATGAAATCCTGTGTGTCCTCTCCTGACGTGCTCTAGGGCTGTCTTCCTCTTGTGTTGATGTTTGATATGAAGGAAGAAATTGAAGTAGATCCGCAATTCATCACGCAGCTGATGGAGCACCTGGATGTCTTCATCAGTATTAAGCCAAAGCCAAAGCAGCCAAGCAAGGTGGGTAGGAGCCCAGGCTGGGGTCGCCCGTCGTGCATGTTCTACGCAGCATTATTTTGCATATGTAAAGTGTGTGTTTGCATGTCCAAGGAACTAACACCCCAATATATAATGTCATTGCACATTTAACTACATCAGTATATGTTTGTGCAGCATTCATTGTTGGTCATTTTCTTTATATATTTGTTTGTTGGTTTTGGAGTAGTTACTGTTGTTTTTTTATAGATATAGGCAAAAGACAGAGTAAATTTTTTGCCTTTAATTTGAAAATTGGTAACCTTAACATTTTTTTATTGTTGTCTCCAGTGAGTTGATAGCGTTACCTTGTATGTTACATGTGTACATGTATATGTGCACACACACCCAGCACAATCAAAACCATGCTTAAATTACTCACTATATCCTAGCCACTGTGGTTACCGTAGGCTTTAAAGAACAGTTGCCCCTTCTTTTTCAGAAAGATTTTCATGCGTTCTTTGAGCCTCTCCTCTGAGATGTCGCAACATTCCAGTAATTTCACATACAGGAAGGAAATTAGTGGAGTAAATCTGACATTAGGTGCTGGTGAGGATGCGAGAGGAGAGGAATGTCCCGAAGTTCATGCCGTGAAAGCTGGCAGTGCTGCCCGAAGAGCGCCCTGGGCCCTGGCACCCCCTGTGGAGGCGTGCGCTGCGCCATGCTGCTTCGAGCTCCACCCGCTGGCAGCACTTTTACCCAGGATGGTCCAGACAGGAGATCAGACTGCACGGCAGTGGCTGCCGAGGGGAGCCTGCATTTATGTGTGCAGAGAGCTGCCTGCAGGGCGCACGCGAGACAGAGGAGGGGAGTACACGCAGGAGGCGAACGAGGGGTGTGCACCTTTCCTCAGCAAAACTCAGACACTGAAAATCAATCCTTTGTCCAGGTGCTAAATGCATAGGTGCTGTAGTCACCTCAGTTTTCTATGTTTAAAAAGAAAAACTTCAAGGTAAAAGAATTTATAAAATGTAGCTGTGTTAAGTTTATGGAAAGTTTCAGAGAAAAATATATCTGAAACAAGTTGAAATCTCTAATATACTAGGGTAATATAAGACACTGATTAATTGTGGCTTCCATTGTTGTAAATTTCTGAAGGAAAATAGCCCTGATTCTCTGAATCTGATATAGTGAATTTAAAGTTAGCAAATATAAAGCATTATGAAGCTTATACTTGGCTGATGTACAGACTCCAGGACTAAATGATGAAGGCAGAAGAGCCTTTTGAGTATTTATCCATATGCAAGTAGAGAAGAACAAGAAAATTGTAGTTCAGGAACAAATAGCAGACATCAGGGACAAATTTTAGATGAGAACTGCAAAGTCAC